GGGAAAGAGAAAAACCATTGTGTAATGCAGTAATTCTGATGATGTTGCCTCAAAACCTTCATCTCAGCTCAGAACACCTTACATATCCTGAAGATCAAAACAAAGGGCCAAATCCTGAGGCCCTGTAACATTTACTTAGTCAAAACTCTCTGCGATTGACAAAACACAGACATGCTCCAACCAGTCTACAAAGGCTTGGACCAGTACCAAAAGAGTACTTAGTTTTGCAAAAATATCGTAAACCAAGCAACATAAAATATTTAAGGGTATGTAAAAAGAAATGTAAAAGTCCACAAACAAACAAAACAAATCATCCCTTCACTGTATGTCCTTCTTTCCCTTCTAAACCAGACCTAGACTTCTGCCAGATTGTACAGATGAGACTGCACAACTAACATGCAACATGTTGTAGCTCATTTTTTTTAAATAGTATTTGTTAGAATAGAATAGAACAGAATAGAGTATTTCAGTTGGAAGGGGCCTACAATGATCATCTAGTCCAACTGTCTGACGACTTCACGACTGACCAGAAGTTAAAGCCTATTATTAAAGGCATTGTCCAAATGCCTCTTAAACACTAACAGGTTTGGGGCATCGATGACCTCTCTAGGAAGCCTGTTCTAATGTTTAACCACCCTCTCCGTAAAGAAATGCTTCCTCATGTCCAGTCTGTTATTGAAAGGCTATGATCGAAAGGCTAATCATAAAGATCATAAAGAAAATGGTGAGTTTTAGGTGAATCATATGCTCAATGTTTCCTCTCTCTGGGCTACTAGTATCTATTCTGTCTCAGGCTTAGTATGTCACTGCCTTCAATTGTTATAATAAAAATATTGTTTTAATTAAGTGTTAAATTGAAAAAAATTATAAAGTTAAAATTATGCTAGAATTCATGCTAAGGAAAGCAGAAACCAGGAAAAAGCTTACTGATTTATTAATTTTGATTTAGAAACTAACCCCTGCTCCCTGTGGTTTTCTGTGCTAAATGTTTGGACATATTTTACTTATAGAGCATATGATGTACAGTATTTTCAGATGGGAGAAAAGCGCCACCAGCAAATTCCAGAACATACCCATAAGGGGCAAAGAACCTTGAATGACAGAACTTTCTTGAGGATTATCTGAAAGGAATCTACTCTGGTTCTTACCCATTCCTCACTACTTTGGCAGTTGAGACCCTTGTATGACAGTGAAAAAACAGTATCTAGTGTCCTTATCCTTAAAAGTAAGCCCAGATGCTCAAAAGAAACCCATTTTGAGGAAGCATGTTGACAGCTGAGGCAGTGAATGAAGTGAACATGCTGGTAACGATGTTTATCTAGCACATTGATCCACCTGAAGTCCTTAATTTCTCTTATCATCCAAATGTCTGATAAGATTAGCTGGATGGCTGAAAAGAGCCTACAAAAAACTTGTGAAAAAACAGCTTTTATTTGTGAACATACATTTGTGCACAGGCCTAGATGTTTTTCTAATAGAGACAGTGGTTTTAAACTTCATGTTTGCCTGATGTGAACCATGAAGGAAAGACAGACAGATATGGCTCAAATGCTGACCATTTCAATTTGCTTCAGGCCAAGCCTTCTTTAACCTACCACAGATTTCTGGCTCGTCATGTACAGCTGTGGGAGCTGCATGAGCATCTCTGCAGACACATCTTTGTCCAAGACACCATAAATGATGGGTGGCACCGATGTAAAAAGGAGATTGAAAAGAATCAAGATCCAATAGTCAGTCATTGATGTGCCTGAAAACCCACAGAAGAACTGGTACCAGAACAGGAGGTTCACGTAGGCCTGAAAAGTCAAAGATGACATGATAAAATGTTACCCGTAGACAAGTGTTTTAAAAGCCAGGAGGAAAACAGGCAGATCTTAGGTCTGGTTACAGTAATCTGTGGAAAATTAAGTATAAATGCTGTGGAGTTCATGTCAATCCCACACTTTGAAATTATATTTGACTAGCACACAGCTTTACATTTCAAAATTGGACACGACTTGTTTAAACTGTCATGTTGCCATCACATTAGTAATGCCCGTTATGCACTGCTTAATCAAATCAAACAATGGCTTTGAGTGGGAAATTCAATCCAATAAGAGTCTCTGGTCTCTGCAGAGATAAATGGGAAACTGAATTGTCTGATATATGCTTTTTCTGTCTTTTTGAACCCATTCACAATAGAAACTAAAAAAGAATATAAAGCCCCATTAAATCCTTCAGCACTCTCAAATAGGCAAACTGTGATTTCCCTGGGATGGGACAGCTACATACCACATTCTTGTAGAAGAAGTAAAGCACCATGTTGGTAAGTCTGGTATAACACCAGTGACCATGGACAAGCAGCAGCTTCCTGAGATGTCTAAACTGAGAGATTGCAAAGTCACTTGCCATCACAGCCTGCAACACACACGAAAGAAAGGATATGTTATATCCAAACTGTTAAAGATAAGCTTCAGATACTGCCAAGTGAGCAACTTGCCTACTGTTGGAAATTCTTATTTTATGAGTTTTTATACATAGTGCTTATGGTCTTACCTTCACTCAGATGTGAGCCCCTCCATACAACATTTTACACTTACACACACGGCTCAGCCCATCACAACATAGGCAGGAGCATGGCTGGCTTTATTATTATCACACAACTGCACAGAAATCACTGATGCTTAGGCTGCTTGTTTCCTGGCAGGACATAAGTAATAGACAGTTCGGTGACAGGCAGCAAGCTCTGTTGTTTGGAGTTTGAAACCCTGCAGCATTCAGCTTCTGAGTGCTCCTGGAAGAGCGCTGAGGCCTGGCTGTGGGCTCAGGCTGCAAACTCTTGCCTGTGTATGGTAATGGACTGTGGAGCCACTGGGCCTCCAGGGTAAACTCTGAACAGATTTAAAACAGAATCTGATGTCATTTGCAGCTGTCTTTGTATACACACTACCTGCATGCCTTCTTGGCCCAATATTCCCACACCGGTGTCAGCCACCTGGATCATACTGACATCATTGGCACCATCACCTAGGGAGAAAAGAAAAGAGGAAAAATCAAAACTAAACTCTCTTATTTGGAATGCAACCTGGAGGCAGCGTTGCTGCCTATCACATCGCCATGGAAGTAGCAGGAAAAGACAAATATACAAGAACACCAGAGAGTCCAGAGAAAAACATTCTTATGGCCAACAGTGCAGCCTATGGAAAACTCTACAGAAAACAGGATTAGTAAGTGGAAGGTCTGACTGAGCTATATTCTCCAGATGGGTATTAGCTGTTCCTTTTGTCAGAATTTAGTTGGTATGCTGGAACAGAAAAGATGGGTGTTTTGAATCATAGCCTATCATCTCCCCTCTCCCTCCCTCTTTTGGGGGGTTGTGATGAGGAATGACAAGGAAAATCCTCTTACTTGCTCCTTTGGGAGCCTCCTATGTTACATAATACTGTGCATGACTGCTGCTGTTCTTGTTGCTGTAGATTACCATGAGTAAGTTTATGGACTAAATTTGCTAGTTCAGAAGACTAACAACATCTTATGCCAGAGACAACTATGATTCAAAGGATTATCTTCCTTGTAAAGTAAATTTTGTGATAGACAGTAACAAAAACATAGGAGAGAAGAAACTAGCTTCTACTTCTTTTTCAGAGAAAAGAAGATAACCACAGGACTCACCTACAGCTAATGTCATTGCCTTTAGCTTATTTCGCACCAGTCTGACCAGGACACTCTTCTGCAGTGGCGTGGCTCGGCAGCAGACCACAGCCCGACATTTTTCTGTGAGTTCCAAGAAAATATTCTGTAGGCTGTCATGAAGGACATGCTCTAAAGTCCTTCCATCAATAACCAGGCCTGCACTGAACCCTGGAGCCTGAGTGGAGGGACTTGCAGAGACATTCCCAAGATTCTGACTGTTTTTTTTTTTGCCAGAAGTGTTCTTCTGGATGCCTTCTAAAATTCTGCTCATCACCAAGGCACAGGCATCCTAATTAAAGACAAGAGAAAGGCAACTTATTAAATATCGTTTATGTTCTGGCTCCCTTTTCAATTTATAAAATACATATGGAAAAAAGGTCAAATGCTGCCCTTGTGTAGCATTTCACTTGAATCCAGAAAGGCTCAGACATGAGGCTGAATACCCTTTAAAATCACAAAGGACACAGCCTGTTGTTAATAAAAGGGCCTTTTTTCCCTTCTCCTTGTACTAGAAGAAGGGAAAAAACTGAAGCAAATCAGAAAATGTTCATAGACTAGCAGAAAAAACAACCATTAAGGATTCTGTAATATAAATACAACTTTTATAGAAGACTTTTGCTCTCTACATTTCTTTTGTCTGGCATGCAAAGCCAAAAGTGCATTTCAAATCAGATTATAGGTGAGCTGCAACGAATTACTGAAGAACTGGCCTTGGGGAATTTTTTACCTTGTCAGTATCAATATAAGATGCCCAAAAGATTCTTCATATCAACACATGTAATGCGCATGCTATATAGAAGAAAATACATATTCTTAAATCTTCTCATTATTTTACTCTGGAATGCAACAGTATCAAATCCTGTCTATTTTTTATTTCAAAGCCCAGTTAGAGGGAGGATGAGCACTTCTGCAAAAGGGGCTCAGTTTTCACTCTTAAGTAAGACACTCATTCCCCAGTAGGAAAAAAGGAAGAAAAAAGTCTTAGTGAAAATCAAACCCCAAGCTTTCCTCAAACACAACTGGACTAAAAATCCTTCCTTTTTCACTTTATTTTCCCCACAGTTACCACGTGCCACACAATCTTTTATGGCAGATACAACCCGAATTTCTAAAATAACACATAAGCAGAGAAAAAAAGAAAAACGAAAAGGTCTTAGAAAAATCCTCCAGTCCTTTAGAGAACTGATTTCATGTCTCTGCTCTGAGGAGAGTGTTGTGGTTTAACCCGGCAGGCAGCCAAACACCACGCAGCTGCTCGCTCACTCACCAGCCCCAGTGGGACAGGGAGCGAATCGGAAGGGTAAGAGTGAGAAAAACTCGTGGGTTGAGATAAAAACAGTTTAATAGAACAGAAAAGGAAGGGCGGGGGGGGGAGGGGAGGGGAATGACAGAATATACAAAATGAGTGGTTCACAATGCAATTGCTCACCACCCATGTTGACCAATAACCAAGTAGTGATCGCTACTTCCTGGAATACGCCTACCATTCATACACTAAGCATGACGTCACATGGTATGGAATATGCCGTTGGCCAGCTGGGCCAGCTGTCCCGGCTATGCTCCTTCCCAGCATCTTCCAGAGCATGGAAGCTGAATGTCCTTGACTAGCAGGGTACTTCGCAACAACTGAAAACATCAGTGTGCTATCAACATTCTTCTCATCCTAAATCCAAACCACAGCACTAGGAAGAAATTTAACTCTATCCCAGCCGAAATCAGGACAGAGAGACATTTCATACGTTGGCTTTACCAGTTACAGTTAGTAATTTCTCTCTTAAGAAACCCAAAACTGATAAAAATCAAGATTTGAAAAACAGCTGGTTATAAGCATCCACAAAAGGACGTAACAATCAAGTAGGATTAAACTTGCCACCCAAAACAGCAGCATTTTTAACCACTCTATCACATGACTCAATTACTGGGTGATGGAGAGAAGGTGGCTTTTTCACTGATAGAATTGTTGGCAGATTAGTTTTCTTGAATAGTGTGCAATGTACTTTAATGAGACAATTCTTTGTACATTTATGCAAGACAAGCAGGGCTGAGGGAATATATTACACAAAGCAGCACAAAACTTATTTCAATAGAATTTGCATGACAATAACTCTTACATTGCTAATATGCTGTAACTCACAAGCCGTTTGAAGCATGTCAACTCTCTAACCTACCAAAAAGAGAGATTAAGCAGTCTATTCAATTAAAATAATTAATCATCACTTAGGGACTGTATATAAAGAAACAGATGTTACATACATACAATGGATTTCATATTTTACATGCAAAGAAGCAAACCGTTGGTTTTCCAGTATTTTCATCTTCCAAGAAATCATGCTGCCTTTGGTCAGTTGGGAAAGCAGAGAGCATTTTATTTTTCTGTATTGCCCTGTGATATAGCCTGACTGAATTTTTCAGCAGAGAAAAAAAATTTTAAGAAAAGTGTAATTTTCCACTTACCCTACTCTGTGATTTGAGAGTGAAGATTCTGTCATCTGGTTCCAGCAGTTTACAAGCATAGGCAATGTTGACAGCTGTCTCTCTCTTGTCACCTGTCAGCATCCATATTTTTATTCCCGCTTTCCGTAATGCCTGTATTGTGTCTGGAACACCCTCCTGCAGGCGATCTTCAATGCCGGTGGCACCTTAATTTAGACAAGCAGAAGGATTAGTGCTGCTGTATTTCCAAAACCAAAATGCTGCAAGAGTGACAGGACAAGATGGTCCTTCCCACATCCCAAAACAGACACCCTACTGGGATGTGCTTGGGAATTCCTCCCTTCCGCATCTTTCTGTGCCCAGAGCCCATCACATTCAAGATTGTTGACACATACCCTCGTTATCTCAGGGGCCTCCAACTCTTCACAAGACCCTTTTAAGCCAACTTTTCTCATTCTCACGGTTGTTTCATTCCATAGCGGCTGTGGGACACAGACTCCCACGCTTCTCAAGATAAATATACTCCATTATTCCCACTCCCTCCTATCTCAGACTACCCCAAACCTTCTTTCATGTATCACCTCGATCCTTCCTATCTCAAGGTCCACCTCTCTTCCTTATTCTCAACTCTGCTCCAGTCTGAATTCTCTGTACCTCTTGTCCCAAGCCCGCACCTTTCCACATCAAAATCCCCTCTTCTTATATCATATTTTTGCACACTGCTGCAAAGACCTGTCATTCATCATCAGGTTTCTCAACCACTCATCGCTGCAGTACCTCCTGTCCCAGGTCCTTTCAATTCATAACACTAAACTCTGTGTTTTGCCCTTCCTCCTACCTGCACTGCCAACCTTGACATATTCCCCCACAGGGAGGAAACACCTGCACACACCCCTTAGTGGTTATAGAAAAGACTTTCAACAAAAAAAATACAGAGACTTTAACAGAGATATCCTTCTCTCCGGTGTGCACAGCAGGCAGACCTATATCCCCAAAACCAGCTTACAAAATCTTCTGTTTCGGTAACAATGAGGTAACACAACATCGGCATAAAGCAGAACCATCTCTGAAAAGCTGCAGTGCCAGTGATTTACTACGGTACAGGACATTTTCATGGCTTTTTCACAATACAAATGGTACTAAATCATAACCAGGACACATGGTTTGGCTTGTGGCTAAGAGAGTTTCTCAGAAAGAAACTTCAGCCAGTTGCAGGTAGGTTAATTCCGAAAGATGAACAATAAAAAAATTCAAAGCAAAGTTTTCCCTCCTAGCATGTTTGTAGTGTTGGAATCTAGCCAGCAATTTCTATATAAAGCACTGACTGTCATATGGGGATGGATAAGAGCCAAAAGGTCAAGCAAATTTCTGACGCTACAGCAATTCTTTCAGTAAGTAGCTGCCAACAGGGCACAGAGCTCATGGCCCCTGGTCACCAGGAAGACAAAAACCTCCAGATCCTTGATCTGCACTCTGCCTGCATTTTGATGGAAGGGGAAGGAAGGGGAAGGAAGGGGAAGGAAGGGGAAGGAAGGGAGATGCTGGGATCTATTTGATGCAAGCTTCTTTGAGATACACTGCTAGGCATCGAGGGAAGAGAGAAAAATGTTGTTTCAACTTGGGCACTCTAACATTCCCCTTCTGAGGTACTTAATCACTTCGTAATCCAAGTTTCAATATCTATACTGCTGAGATCTGTGTTTAAGTACTGCACATTAGGACTATTCTTTCCAGGAACAGATTTCCATTCAAATAAAGGCCTGAGGCTTTATATATAGCCATGCAGATTTCATACCTGCCTATGCAGTGGACTACAAACCACTGCTGTCCTCCATGATCCTGACAATACTGAGATGATTTGAATTTTTTCTTGTTGTTCTTTGAGAACAAAGTCTTCATTTCTCAGTCCTAAGAGTACAGTCAGAGTTACAGCTGGTATAATAAATTTATATTATATATAAATATATACCCGGTAATGTTTATTAAAACAGGTAATGTTTATTAAAAAAGCAAAGGAAGGCTCAGAGAAGCAGAATAAGAAGTACTGTAAGTACTTCTACTCTGCAGATCATAATGTACATACGCCTAAGGCAGGGGTAACCAAGCTAGCAGAGGTTCTGAAACCAAGCACCTTGGCAGTATGAAGCCATTTACCATTCTTATTCTCACTCCCATTTAATGTTAGGGCCAACCCATATCGCTTACTGTCCCACCAGAGACACGAGACAAAAAAATGCCTTGGCCTGCAGGTCTTCACAGCAACTAGATTTCCCTCTGCTGACTCCAGTGCAAAAGGGTACCTGTATAGCACGTCATCCCTTAAAACTACAGCAGCTAGCAGCACTGCTTTGGCTTCTCTCCAGAAACTGAAGCCAGTAATCCCAGAATTCCTTTTAGTATCAAGGTTTATGGCATTTGCCCTCAGCAGACGTGGCACAAAATGAGGGAAGTAACACCTTTCCACACAACAGGATCTGTCTCTCTTCAGCTTCTAGCATGAGTTGCCTTCACCATCACAGTCAGGTCTTTGCACTTTGCTTTCCAAATGTTATTTGCTGGGCAGTCGTCCAGAGCTATAATCCCAGACTGCCTGCAGTTTACCTTTTCCACATCTACACCAAATGTTTTTCATTTTGTTCTGGCCTCCCCATTCCTGCACAGCTGAATGACCATCAGAGGAATGGTTCCTGCAGAAGCACGCCTGACTTCTTATCTCCATGTTATTAGAGGAGGACACAGCACAAGCATACCTGCTGTGCCACAAACACAACAGTGATGGAAAACATGCCCAGAAGAGGGATCCCCGTGAATGTTTGCTCAGGCAGGCCTGTGATTTGTTATTATTGTTTCACATGCTTATTATGATGATGCTTAAAAACTCTAGTGAGCACAAAAAAGAAACCCAATTAAAAAAAATCAGTAAAACTTTATCCTTTACAAACAACAGAAAAGCACTAGCTGTCTTCAGTGTGTTTCACAACTAGTACAAACTTACCAGCAAGATTTACGAAAATTCAGGAGTGACAATAAATTCCAGGTCTGTAGAAAGCTATGTCTTACACAAACTGAGTTTAGCACAGCTCTCTGCAGGTAAATTCCAATTATCATAAGCAGTTTCCTGGGAGTTACAGCATTTTCTACCCACCTAGCAAAGTTAGTTCGGTCTCAAGCCTGATGGCAGATTCAAGCAGCAGCTCCTCCCTATTGTCAATACTGGTTTCTGCTAAAAAATGATGCTTTAACCACTCTGCATATTCTGCATCACTCATCACCTACAGAGGGAGAGAAAACATACGGCATGTATCTATATTGTGTTTTCAAAGGCACCTCAAAAGTGTCCTCACAGTTACTTCTGCTGTCCACATACTGAACCTAGAAGCGCAGCCCCTGGCAGTGCATTACTTACATGCCCCAACACGTCCATGGATTTAGTACAATGTTCATAGTGTTAGATTACTTTGCCAGGCTTCACAAGCCAGGTTACTCACCGGCACCCTGCAGGTTCCTGGAGCTGCCTGACAGATTTCTGTTTAGATGGAAGGTAGGCAGGCCAGTGAGCATAGTATACTCTCTTTAACTGCAGCATTGGCACAGCCACAGAATCACTGCACAGCTGTGTACTGCTTGATGACTGTACAGCTGCACTTTGCATAAGGCTTTGTAAAGAGGTTTCTTGCCTGTTTCAATCCCTATGGAATTTTACTTCTGAGCAGCTTTGAATTTAAAATGGAATCTCAAAACATCACTTAAGTTTTGCATCCAGAGCTTGTAACACTGCAAACTGTTTGTGAAACCCAATAAAACAGGTCTGACTTCATTTGTTTTCTGTGTCTGGAATTCCAACCAGGGTAAATTTCACATAAGGAGACCTGCTCAGGACTCTTGAAGAAAAATCAGGCTATTTGACAACCCCTGTTTTAGAATTAGGCTATTAAGCTGCTTGGCATCCTAAACTGACAACAACTATGGCAATCTAACGGAAGTCAGGAATTTATTTGGGTCAACTTACAAATTCCTCCTGAAAGAACATAAGGATAAACAAAATGTGGCAATGGAAGCATCTGTTTAGAAGCGGTGATGTCTGCTCCATTGGTGATATGACTCAGGTTGGTCACAGACCATAAACATTCTTAAAAATATGTGTTAAAAGGAATACCTTCTTAGCAATACACAGAGTGCGCAGTCCTCTTCTGGCATAGTCATCCAAATGCTTCTGAGTTCTCTCTTTAATCTTCTTTTGTTCCATTTCTGAATTATTAATGCCTACTATCACACAAAAAGCAAAGAAAGCAAATTAAATATGCATTCTTAGGCTAAATTTAGAGGAGAATTTTGAAGGTCTAAATACGTTTTAAAAATACCAAAATGTTAATAGGTTTTATTTTAACTATGAATGTATCTTCATGTTTGCACAATGTACTGTGGCTGTATCTATACTGAGCATGCAGTGCTCCAATCTGCACAAGCAGAGAGGGGGAACCCATCTGGTACTGATACATCTTTGGATGCCACTAGTATAGCAAAATGTTTTTCTAAAATAAAATTATTTTCTAAAATAAACTGGGCCACAGACATCCAAGCAGCTTTACTGTCACTGGTCTAGTGGGAGGGAGCTAAAAGGGCAGTCGCAGAAAAGCTTTTTTAAAAATAACTGTTAAGGGGTGGACTATTCGGACAGGCATTCAACTCACCTAACTTTGGACATGTAGAAATTAGGTTCCAAGTTTAACTTGAGAATCAAAGTAAGGAGAGGCACTTCCAGACATGAAATTACCCCCCTAGTAAGATGACAGATTTTGGGAGGCATTGTTTCTGCCCCACGGCCTACACAGGCTTTTTGTCTAGGCTTTAGATGGCTAACGTTGGGCGAGTTAAAATCCACTCTTGGAATTGGAAATATCCCTCTTCCTCACTGAGATCAGCCAGCCATGGAACATACAAACCAAACTGCCTTCTGCAGAAAGCAAGCCTTTAAAAATAATTCCTTTATATTACTTTCCAAACCATTAAAAAAAACCCTTGGAACATCTTCTGAACTTAAATATATTTAGGTATTTACTTCTAACATACACAGATAATACTTTCTCTTTACTGCCTTCAGTTAAAAACCAATGACTGTTTGCTACAGTGTATGAATAAATCAGTTAGTGCTTAAACAAATGGTGCATCCCATCCATTCAAAAAACGTTTACCCCCGAACAACAAGGCCCAGCAGGAGGCACCACACAACTTTACAGATATTATTATTACACCTAGAAACATAGAAATACTCAGTAGTCAAGGGAAAAAACCTCAGAAAGCACTGATAGGTGACATCTGCTACCGACACCTCTCTCCAACAGCTCACAAACACCAACATAGGTAGAGGCTAGAAAGTATCTCATTCTAATAAATACCTCTCACTGTGTAGCAAAAGCCAACTATTCAAGCAGATGACCTTACTTTATAACTGGAAATACTTCAGTTGGCACCAAAGGGTCTACTTAGACACCACTAAATCCTGTGAGTAACAGCTGCTTCTCTCTTCTCAGTTTCCACACCAGCACACAGCATAGCCGTATCTAGGTGATAAGCAATACTACCTTTCTGGGTTCCCTATAAGGAAGTATTCACAGATAATAGTTCTGCTGGGTTACTTGTCTCTTTTCATGAATCAGGCCATCTGTTTAATTGTACTGAAGAATGACAAAGGTGAGCAAAGAATTAGAAGTTCTACAGGTACCTTCAGATGCAGTTCTCAACAAATCCACCATGACCGAGTCAGCACCTTTTGTGTACACCACCACTTTGTTGGAGACTGGATGCCGAACCACCACTGACATCCTTTTCCGCACTGAATCAAAAGGCAGGATATGCAAAAGCTGAAACGTTAAAGATCCCAGACCTGCGAAGTCCACAGTTACTTGATCTGGAGTCCTAGACTGTAAAATACATTTATAAGCCCTAGCAGCATGAACCAAGGCAGCTTCATCCGGACTCTCGGCTTCATAACATAGTTTAGGTAAGTGAGACAATTTAATAGATGACACAGCACTGTTGTGTTCACAGCCAGCAGCTACATTGACCATATCTAGGTCTTGAGGCACTTGGCAATTTTCTGGGCTGTCAGTATTGGGAGGCTCAGCAGCCCTTTGAGCAGCTCCATCCAAAGCAGGTAAAGCCAGTTTCGTTCTGAAAATAGACAATTTGCTCACAAAATTATTGGGGCTTTCAGATGATGACTCTTTTGCAGTTGGAAGTGGGGAGGAACTTAGTCTCCGGACTGACAACCTCTGGAACATCTGCCTGATTTCCTCAAGCGATTTAATAGGCATCCTACCCGGTGAAGAGAGTCTCATCTGGAACAGAACAGTTAGAGAGAGGATTTATGCTAAATTCTTCATACCTTATTACATTAAAGAAGGACAGCTTACAAACTATGTATGCTTCTTAATGAATGTAGTATTTTAAAATTTACCATGAGTATGATTGCTTGTATTAAAGATGGCCAGCTCAATTAAACATATAACCATATGAGTACACTAAACAGCTTCTGTAAGAGCTTCATTATTCAAACCAAAAGAATTGTAAAACTACTTCAGATCTGAAAACTGTATGCATTCCAAGTTTGATTAATGACTCCATGTAATACTTCTCTTTAGAACTGTTTCAGCAACAGTTAGTATGACATTTTAACTTTTAAAAGTTGTGGCAAATGGAACTAAACACTTCAATTCTTGTTCTGAATTAGCAAGATACTCGTGAAGAATAAACCACCTCCATACCCCTCACAGCAACTAGCTACAAGTACTGTTAAAAATACAGTATCTTATCAATACTTTTTTAATGTCTGAATTTAAAACAAAAGACAGTTCCCCTCTCATCAATGTTACAACATAATTGGCATACTGTTATTCAGAACAGTTAGGCAGCTAACAGCTTACAAAAAAGGAACAAGGCATGCAAGGCTGACATTCATTTCTCATTATTGGTGAAGAGTTAAGAATGAGTTATCACCAGGAAGCATGTTCTCCTTTGCCACTGAAAAGCATAAAGTAAGGGCAGACTCTGGCTTCAGTTCTACCGCAATTGCATGCAAGTTGCAATATGTCTCCATTCAGCATCATGAAAACAGAGACTAGGACCATCCTTTCATCACCTCTCCCTAAGGCAACACCTGAACCTTCTGTTGCCTTGAGCTCTTTCACGTCATTCCCTAATCATGAACTCGGAAACCTCATGCCACATTGCCCCTCCCAACCTACCTACTAGTGACCTGGAGACCTTCTCCCCTGCTAGCAAGTCATCCAGAAATACTATTCTCAAAAAACCGAGAATCTCCCCTGTATATTCTTCTACATCACCTTTAAGGAATGGCTGATTAGTAACTATGAACACAGCTGCTCCATCCATACATCCATACACTAAAATACCAGGCTTATTTATACGCAGGAGGTACTTTATACTCCACAGGATACCATTTGGGAATGTCTCCAGCCATAGTTGTAGGTTCACTGCCTAGATGGACACCAAAACCTAGTCCTGCACATGTCATAAACATTTTTTTCAAACGACAAAGTCAACAGATGGAAATCACCAGCCGATAGGGGGAAGCAAATCAAAGCTGAACTTGGGAATTATCCTGCAACACAGTCAAAATTGGTAAAAGATGGGGTTATGAGAATCCTACCCTGCAGAAAAAAAAAGATTTGAAAAAGATAGTAGTATCTTTAAATAAATGTTAGGTTGTGTGCTCTGAAAACAACAAGTGGTCTCAGGAAGACTTAAACACACTCCAGACCGTTAAACCAGGACAGTCTAGCAAATGCACGGTACGTTCAAGGTGAGACCACTTTATGTCATACTGCAAAGCTTTTTTCCTTCAGATTACTACACTTTCATATTACACATATGAAACTTGATCTTCCATACTTTTGCTGAAACTCTATTTGAGTAGTCAGGAAACAGGTAAGAGCATTCTCAGTTCCAATATTGTGGGAGTCTTCTGAGATTATTCTTATCTTTCAGCCAACAATAATCTATTTGTAAAGGTAACCTGAGTGTTAGGGTACTCTTAAAGGAAGCTATGCACATATCTGGAAAAAAATAACTAGAATATAGAAAAAACCACAACTGTAATTTAATCTCAAAATTTGTCTTGTAAAAGTTATAAACAGCCTATACACAGAAGCAAAAATATTGAAGCCAAGTTCTTCTGTATCAGAAAAACATTACCAGCATTATATTACATATTAATTCATTGCACTCTCTGGGTGTACAGTAATTCCCTTCTTTCTAACAGGACAAACCAAAAGAGGAGAAAAGAATAATTTTTTAAATGTCAGTTAATTGTTTTTTCCTTTTGTAATCAAACCAAAGGGAGCTCATTAATAAATGAATATGGCGAAATAGCTAAAAATAAGGCCTTCTTACCTTCTGACGTGGCTGATTGGGGACTGAAACTACAACAGTATTACAGATTGCCAGAGCAAGAAAGAAGTCAGTGATGTACATTGTCTCCAAAGATAACTTGCTGCTGGCTTCTTCTGATTGTTGATAGGAATGAGAAGAAATTTGACTGAACTTCTGCAGCAGTTGTGCGTCTGGTACAACATCTGTTTCCTATTGATGAAATGAACAAAACTGTCCATTAGGATATAAGCTTAATCTCAGTCTCTGGAAGTTAAATCAGTTACAGATGAATGAAGTGTAGAAGCTCATAAAACTTCCTTCCTGTCAGATGCTGAGTTGATTATACTACGAAACAGAGGAACATTCTGCTGTCTTCACTGCCTTGTGCTAGCCCACTGAAAATGGCAAACTTCATGCCCAGACAGGTAAACAGTAGAGCCTTAGTTCATAGACACTTCAACAGAGATTAAATATGATGAATGCTACTTAGACACCTTCGGGTACAGAAGCAGAGTTTTTACCTCTCGTAACCTCCAATAAATATTGGTCATCTAGATATTTCCTATTAAAAACAAAAGAAAATGCTAGAAACAAAAGAACAAACTGTTATTAAGATGAAGCCGGTCATTTTAGCTGGAGTGATCATGGACTCCCAGCAGCAAGAACCAAAGCATACACCTTTGTGACCCAACAAACATCTGCAATGTCAGTTGCAAATAGGATGCAGCCAAGCAATCATGGGAGGCTCTGGTTTTCATGGAAGAGGGGAAGGATTTCTTAAATGACAAGCACTCTGATCAAATGAGGATAAAAAGATACTCCTTCATGAGTTACTTCAGAAATTTAGCATCAAAACCAACAGCTTTTACTTACAATGGGGCTGCTGAAAGCAACATGTCCTGAGTGGGGAACATCACCTGCTCCATCTTCCCTTCCTAATGCAGGGTAACTACCAGACAACTGATTCAAAGACTTTCTGTTCAAAGGTTTTTTCACAGCTCTGCAGTTGTGCCCCTGCCATTTTGACATATGGGTTGAAGAGCCACTCTGACAATCAGCTGAATCCTCATCCTCTGAATCCATCTCTTGATAGGATTCCAACCTCTTTGCTATGAAAAGGGAAAGAAAATTATTGTTCCATGAGCAAAAAGAAACTTGCCTGAAGGCTCAGGAAACAAAATTTTGAAGTAAAGAATTCAGTACATAGTTAAGAATAATCCACCATTTATGAAAAACAAAACCCATAACAAGCCATCACACTGACTTTCTGTTTTGGACACTGCACTTCAAGAGCAACACTCCTCTGGAATTAATCCAGAAGAGGGAGCACGAATGATCAGGGTTCTAGACAACATGAGCCGCATGGAAACAGTAAAATAAGCTGGAGTTACACAGCCTCCAGAAGGGCACATTGATGGGAGCCAAATAATAGTCTTCAAGTACATGAGAGGCAATTGCACAGAGAAAAGAAATAGCCTGTTTTATATGCACGCTGTGGGTAATAGAAGACACAACGGTCCTATACTGTGGCAAGACAGGCTCAGGCTAGGTATCAGCAAAACTTTGTCAGAGAAGACATGACATACTAGAACAGAATGCCTGAGAAAGCAATGAATTGGTCATCACTGGAGGTCCTGAAGAAGCAAAAAAAAAAAAAAAATCATACAGAATAATAGCAACAACTCTGCCTTAGGCCAGAGAATCATAGAATCATAGAATCATT